GCTTCCCTGCGGACCTGTGCTTGTTTGGGGAAAATCCTCAACTAGGACCTCTGATCTGATGAAGGGATAGAAAAATCCATCGTGTGACGAATATCTTGATAGAGTATCCCGAGGAAAAACCACAAACAACCCTAGCCTTGGTGCAACCTCCAGCTGGTTACTGGTAGGAACTGAGGGTAGACCGTAGATGGCACAGTGATCAACACACAAGTTCACGTTCTGTGGACCTCCCGTCACATCTGCAGAGAGCGGGAGCTTGTTTATTAGATGCGTATCTATCTCTCTGTGTACAGAGACATATGTTTAATCTAATGGCCAGTAGGGGTCACAAAGCACAAGAATATACAGAAGACTAGATGAAGAATGAAGGCATTACAAGGCAAGCTACTTACTGTCTCGGTAAGGTAAAAATTCTGGGGCATTTGTAAGTGGTGGGTTCCCCAAATAAGTGTTATTTGGTGGGACAGATAGGACCCTTGCGTGATAAATCTGGCGCACATCTTGTACGATTTCATCTGTGAGGTCACACTCAGTGTTTGGGGTTAAGAAGCATTTGATTTTCCAGTTACTAGATCCAGAGCTAAAGGAAGGAAGGAGAAAAAGAAATGGGATGTTAGGGTCGAGTGTCCACCAGGATGACTGGCCTCCTAGCAGAGTGCTCTGTGCTGCCAACTGGCAGCTACAGGGAAACCTGAAGAGGCATTTCCCACTCTGAGCATTTGATACATAAATGCAAGTTCACTGGCTCTGCTGGATTTTTTAAATTAATCAATTAATTTTATTTAATATGCATTGGTGTTTGGCCTGTATGTCTGTCTGTGTGAGGGTGTCAGATCCTCTGGAACTGGAGCTTACAGACAGTTGTGAGCTGCCATGTGGGTGCTGGGAGAGCAGCCAGTGCTCTTACCCACTGAGCCATCTCTCCAGCCCCCTTTAAAAATGCATGTGAGCACAGAAGGTCAGAGACACTAAAGCAACTTTCAAAGTCACTCAGTAACCGGTGGTAGAGCTAGGTTTGTTTGCCTTACCACACCACACGCTAACTGGGACTACAAGAACGAGAACACACCTCTCCAAAGATCTGAGAGAGCCAATGCAGGTTTAACAAAGTCTGAGCCTCTGAGGGCAGAGGACAGATCTTTCTTTCTTTTCCCCACCCCACTGCTATGAGAGCTCTGAATATGAGGGCTCTCTTTGGACCAAGAGTTCTGATTTTCATCTCTCTACCAAGCAGCGTGGCTTCGGTGTGTGCTGAGTATGAGGCTGTTGCCCGTTCCAGGTGAATACACACTTCCTACGACCACACACATTAAAAAGAATCCAGCACCGCCTTAAAGAGATTATACCAAATGGGGTTAACATGTGCAAAGGGACCAGCATAATATCTGGGATATATGAGAGTCGGTGGTTGACTAACCATCCACGATGATCATGGCAGAATATAATTACGTAGGGAATCTATTATTGATAGACTTTATTACCCAACATAGACATAGAATATGATTCAATGAGCAGGGGTGTTACATAGAGATTCAATTATCTAAATCCACACAGAAGAGGCACAAATGTGGATTCTTCAAAAACATAACCAGATTGAAAGAACCCGGGTACATATGTCCTTTATCCTCAAAGTTACATACTAGCATTAAAATGGGAACATTTTAGCTTCTTGTATTTTTTTTTTTTTATTTTCTTCTATGATAAGTATAGAGGCTGTTTGGATCCAGAATGACTAAAATGCACCTTGATCACATCTTTTCCATATCAAAAGCCAGTGGTGAGCTTCTTGATGGCTTCTTTCCACCGATAAGACAAACAGGTCGTTGGGGGGCTAGGCTCTGGGTGAGGACATACAGCTGAGAGATGTGGTGTTTTGTTCCACCCAGCTCACAAGTAGGAACATGTACTCTCTGAAAAAACTTTAGAGCAGGGGCTGCATCATCCCGTGACAGCAGGTCAGCGAGAGGACAGCTCTCCAGCGAGGTCCTCTGGGTGCTGCTAAGAGCACAACCACTTTAAAAGTCTTCAAGGTCCCTCTAGGTTAGTGAAAAACTCCCCAAATTTGGAAATAAAAGTCCCTCCTAGTTTCCTGAGGAGTTCAAACAGAAAACAGACATTCACTAATTGAGTTAGAGGCTGTGTCTGGACGCTTCTAAATTCAGCTCCAGAATTCAGCACACACTATGGGCTGGATGGCACAAGTTATGGCGTGGTGCTGAGGCTGGGCCTCTGATACTTCCCAGCTACCGCTGAGCCTATTTTCAGAGAAGATGCTGTGGAGACTCAGCCAAGGGGCTTTGGTACCCCAGAGCTGCCCTTGGGCCAGCACCACACAGCCAAGCTTCAACAGCATGGGTGGAGGTGGGGAACAGGGTCCCCTGGTTAAGGTGCTGCCTCCTTAGGGAGGAGATGAGAAAATAAAGGAGATCCAGGAGAAGCAGTGATGAGCTGAGCGAGGCCCTCCTCCCAACCTTGCATCAAACTGACAGAGTCTCCTGAGGATGTGGCACACCTCAGTTCCAGGCAGCCTCGCACTCACCAGCAGCAGTCAGGGTAGGTCCCTGGCTTCCCAGAGCAACAGTCTCATCGAGAAAAATGACTGCTATGATTCCCTTAGTCCTGGAATCCCCTTTCCCCTGGGAAGAGTGAAGGCTAGCTCAGGTCTCAGGCACTGACCGATGGAAATGCTTCCAGGATCAGCCAGCTGAGCAGCAAGGGCCTGAGGAGGGTGACCTGACTCGTAGGATACCCAAGTCTGAGAGCATTCCTAAGCTGTGCCCTGAGCTATGGTGTTTGCAGATCATGAGCTCTATTCATCTCAATAATGGCCACCTTAAAATTCCCCCAAACTTAGAGCTGGTAAAGGCTAATATTTCAAAAATCAAGTCAATCTAAGCTACATTTCCAATGCTGTTCCAATTAAGACTATATATTTAGAAGATAATAATTCCTCTCCAAATCTAATCTTCATATCTAGAAAGAAAGTGCTTCCTAAGGTAAATGCCAGGTTTATACAAAGGAAATTAATTACTTTAACAGCTCTCAACTGTTAGAATATGAATTGGCAAGGTCTAGTTTGTTTCGAGTCAGAGTCTCACTATGTAGCTCCAGTTGGCTTTGAATGTATATGTAGCCTTGAACTCGTAATTCTTGTGCTTCATACGACCAAGGTGTGCAGGGATTACAGGTGTGTTCCACCATTACCAGTTCAACTCAATTGATTATGGATGGGATCCAAGCCTTTGTATATGGTAGAAAAGGACCCTACCACGGAACCATATCACCAGCCTTTGAACTGATAAGTTGGACCACAACGGTAATTACATATTAGGAAATGTCTTTATCTGCATATATCTATGCACAGCTACACATGCATATATGCGTGCATGCTCACACTCAAGTTCTTTTTGCTTTTGGTTTGGCAATAGTTATGAAGCTCATTTTGAAAACCAAGAGAGTCCTCTGAAAGACCCACACCTGAGAGTTGCATCCTAGTACTGCAAAAGGTTCGGCACAAGCTGGAGCAGCAGAACACAGAGGCAAAAACACGCTTGACTTTTGCCAGTGATACTCTTACGTCTCTACAGCATCGCTATTAAAATAATTTCCACACCAGGCAGCCTCGATTTCCCAAGTTCCTTGCACATCTCCTTGGCCCTATCAGAAACCAAAGGCTTGCCAAGAATACGTGAAAACCATCGGAGGAAAACGTGGCACACCCTGATACTTAGATTTCAAGTGCTGAATTACTTGTTCCTGAGAGCTGTCAATCAGTGGACAGGCTTGAAGGAGCCCAACAGCCCTCAGACAGCAAAGGATATAGACCATCCAGCAGTGTTTTCTAAGCAGCTCAGTGAGTCAGGAACTTGGCCTCCACCAAGACCATGAGTACAACCAAAATTTGATTCACAGAGTCCATAGATGAGTGAATCAAACACCGCTTCAGGGCAGTGTAGACTTTGAAATCCCTCCTACCTCAGCCCAGTCTAGACACAGACAGCTAGCAACCGGAAAGGCACATTGGTGCTTACAGGAGATTAGCCACCATTGATGCCAAAGCATACTATAAATGCCTGTGTGAGCAGGCTCACCCCTCTAAAGCTTATGCACTCAATAGTTTTCCTGTAATTTGCCCCAAATAACTAGACATTATCTCATTTTATTTATTTGTTTTTTATTGTTTATTTATTTTGATACAGGATCCCATGTATTGCAGGATGACCTGGAACTCCATATACAGCTAAGACTGACTGTGGATTTTTAATCGTACACATCTCCTGAGTGATACCACGCCAATTCTATGCATCACTGGAGATCTAACCCAGGTCTTTAAGTGTGCTAAGTAAGTACTCAACGGACTGAGGTACGTCCCCAGCTCCTGTCCTATCCATTTAAAGTATGGAAATGTTTCCACCTTGATGGGACATGACAGTGGCCGGCATATCACCATGAAAACGCTATCATTTGCTAAATAGCCTCACCTAACATCGGCTTTAAAGAGTCGGTGTTAGCGCACAAGAGCTGGAAGAGCCAAAAATATTATCTTTTTGTCTTTAACTTAGCTTACCTTATCTCCACATTGTAGACATAATCGACGGGTTTGGGTTTCCACTCCAAAATTGTCTTGAAATTCACTGATTCCCAGGTTAAATTAAATGCTTTCTGTGGAGTACCTATAAACAACACAAAAGAACTGTAATTGCATGTACTTCTGTGCTCACGAAACACTTTCCCAGCCTTAAAAAGAGCATGTTTTAAATGTCAGTTACAAAAACGTTGCTGACTTATAAAGAAGAGTGTGTGTGCGTGTGTGCGTGTGTGTGTGTGTGTGTGTGTGTGTGTCCGTCCAATTTTTTTCTAGACCCATTTCGTCCTCCTGGCAACATCCACACCGCAGTCCGTGGAAACGGCTAAAGACCCTGAAGTTCTTGTTTGAACTGTTCAAGGGAAAGCCCACTTTATAACGACATGGAAGGAGCACCCAAGGTCCACTCACAGGGCTGGAGAGTCCCAGACCCTTCTGACGTGGTCAAGCTCAAAGTAGAGGCAGCAAAGAGGGATTTGATTGAGTAAGTTCAAAAGAGGGTACGTCCCACACAAGTGGGGCGAGTCCGGAATGCACATAAACGAAAAAAGCCAAACTTGACCTTTCCGATTGTAATCTAAAATATCTCTACTCTGAAACTCCCACGGAGAGCAAGGTAGACGGGCGGCCCACGTGGCACCTGTCACATGGTGGGATGCCATTCCATTAAAATACTCTGTTACTAACGTCTCTTTTTGCAAGTCCTCCGGTTTCCGTCTCAGCCTCACCTCAAACATCGGGCAGATGAGGGCTATGCACTCTGTCTTGCCCGAGTTTACAACAGGATTGCTTCTATCAGATCTAAAACTAAAGGCCACAAGAGCAGCTACTCATTGCGGGAAGGCGCACACCTTGTCAAAGATAAAATGAAAGCCAGGGAAAGCACGCCAACTTGGACAGAGGCGGACCCATGGGCCCGCCACCTTCAAGGGCACAACTTCCTAGGAAGCTCTTTCCTCAAAGTCAAAGTGGGAACCCCAGATCATTATGCAACCGCGGTGGACGCATAAAGCAGGCATTTCCAGCGGCGACAAAAGCCGGGGGGATCCGGCACCAACTACCTTCCACCCTACGTTCATTCAAACCCTCAGGACAAGTGCAGCTTATCCCGTCCACAGGTGCGACGGAACACATTGGGGTCCGTCCCTAAGGAGCCACAGCAGCCCCCAGCCAGCCAGATCTGTTCTCTGTCTCCGGTGCGCCACGAGATCCCCATGACCAGTGCCACTCACCTGCAGCCACGGTCACCTGGGCAAGGAGGCAGCCGAGAAAGGTGGGCGCGAGGGCCGCTAGGAGGCGCGGGCGCACGGGGATCGCCATGTCCAAGGGCTGGTGGCGGGAGGTCGCGAGGCTTCGGCGGCGGCGCGGAGGCTGCGCTACGGGGAAGCGATCGGAGGGAGAGGGAGATGGGTACCGGCTATACCCAGGCTGCCGGGGTCCGCGCGGGGCGCGTTATAAAGGGCCTCGCGCGGCCACCGGCGCCTCTCCACCCGGCGCCGCCTCCGCGGAGGCCAGCGACTCCCCGCCCCCCAGCCCGGGTCACTCGCCTTCGCGGTGGGCGGCTCCCGGTCAATCCACACCCCTGCCCCGCCTCCTCCCGTAGGAAACTCCGAGACCCCGAAAGGGGTGACTCACCCGTGATTCAACCGCGCCGCTGAGCACCGAGCTGCCCCTTCGGCCCAGGCGGATCCAGGTGCTGCAGAGACCCAGGCTGTCCCGCCGATCCCTGGATGACCAGCCTGAGTGGCTTTCGAAGAAGAAAGGAGTCGCGTTGGAGGGACCTGAGTTGAAAGTCAAGGGAGCCTTACTTTCCCTGTGTTTTCCATGTAGTCTGCGCCCCTAGCAGAAGATGGATCAGGGTCCCTGGACCTTTCTGAATAGATCAGGGCAGTTCTAGGCCCTGCCTGAGCACCCAGTAGTTAGCAGAACATTCGGCCAGTCCCTTGGTACATTGTGCAGGGCGGTGCAGTAAATACACGTGTCTGCCATGGACAAGTGCCCTGGATTAGATCTAAAGGCCACTTGGCATCCCCTCCCCATACCCACCCCGTCCAGGTTCCCGTTCCCAGCTTCCGAGGGTGACTGAGGGACTGCAGCTTAAAGCCTGGGAGAATTTGAGCATGACTTCTGTAGCCAGGGGGTTCCAGGAAGGATGGTTCTCACGTTGAGGAAGACAGCTGTGGGTTTAGAGGGAATTCCTCCCAAATACAGAGAAACAAAAAATGAAACCGAAAAATAAATAACATTCGGACTTCCAGTTTTGTTTGTTTGTTTTCCATTCTAGATGCTGGGAATGGCCCCAGGAACCCACCCATTCCAAGCACACCTCTGTCACTGAGGCTAGCCCCCAAACAGGTGTGTCACTTGCAAGCTTGGGTGTTCTTATTTCCTGGCTTCCTTTTCTAGGTTTTACTATGAAGTTGGTCAGGTCTGAGAATGTCACTTGTCATATTGGTAGTGTTTGTCCAGCATCTTGCCAAAAGAGTTCTTCTCCTCATTCCTTGTCAACTCTTCAGCTTATTCCTTCCTTTACACCAGGGGTTCTCACCCTTCCTAATCCTGCAGCCCTTTAATACAGTTTCATGTTGTGGTGACCCCCAACCATAACATTATTTTCTTTACTACTTTCATAACTGTAATTTTGCTACTGTTATGAATCGTAATGTAAATATCCGTGTTTTCCTGTGGTTTTAGGGGACTCCTGTGAAAGGGTCGTTTAATCCCTCACGAGGTTGCAAAACACTGCTTCATACACTTTTTTTTTCACTTCCTTTAGTAAAGTCAAGCTTAGGAAAGCTCGTAGGCTCTGAGGAGTGTAAAAAGTTACTAACCTGCTGTCACACTCACAGTGCCTTTGATTAGGCTTCCTGATTGTGTCTGAGAACAGACAGGGCAGAACCTCTTAGATATCCTTTTACAGTACCAATCCTGAGGCCAGCGGGTCCGTGTGGATTCACGGGCCAAACTGCACAACATAGCTCTATCTATTCCTCATCTCCAGGGGCTTTCTCTCTTGCCGGCTACTCCTGATCGGGCAAATGAAGATTGCATCAAGCAAACTGTTGAAAGAATGATTAATTTTTCCATTCACGGACACTCAAAAGTGTCCTGCAGTGGCGTGGAAAACACGTGCAGTTTGAGGAACTCATTGTTGGTAGGCAGAAATATCCTGTTGGCTATTCCTTAAAACACACATGCATGAAGACACGTAGAGAGCTTGATTTCCTTTTACATAAGCAGTGGTGAAATGTGGCTGATGAGGAGTTTGCAAACGGCCAGGACACTCTTTCAGTCCTTCCTATGCACCTTTATAGAGCACGCTAACAGCTTTACCCATTTCATCCAGTACTTCATGAACTTTTGATTATGCACTCACCTGTCAATCTTCCCCATTCAAGCTTTTTTGGTGGTGGTGGGGGAAATCACGTCCCCCCGCTTTAGTCCTTAGCACAGTTACCAGCTCTTGGGAGGTGCTATGTGTTTAAATCAACGAAGATTGCTGTGCAGAGATGCATGTAGCTGCAAGTTTGGATTAACATTCAAGAGATGGACTCTGTCACTGAAGTTTCCCTGTGGAGCAGCCAGGCGGTGAGATGGTCGGATTGGTGAGAAAATGCAAATCTATGTAAATCAAAAGGCGCCGCCCCGCTCTGCAGCCAGCCCCAGCTCCAGCCCCAGCCCCAATGGTCTCTAGGTGGTTGAGGCTCTTTCTGGCTTCCAGGACTTCTAACTGGAGGAGAGGTAGTTCCAGAGCAGAATGGAGAAGTTTGGGAGCTGTTCATTTTTCTAACAGCCTACACTCTAGGGTGATTCAGAATCTGCCCAGTCATGGGACCAGGCTGAACAGCTGTTTAGCGTAATTTCCTCAAAATGTCTGTCTTCCTAGGAAAAGGACAGGTTAAGATTTATGATAAAAGGTAAAATTGAGAGCAATTTAAAAAAACCTGCTATATGCATGGGAAATGGTAAAAAAGAACAATTTAACCACCACCCCTCCCCCCTCAAAATGTAGGTAAAAGGCAAAATACGAGAAAAAAGCCAGAGGGAATTCGGAGTTAGTGAGAACACAGAGTTCTGAGTGGGGGGGAAAAGTGACTCAGCAAAACCAAAGAAACATCTGGCAGGGTTAGTCATGGAGAAACTGGCAGTTGTGGTGATGGCTTCTTGTGAAAATAATTATGTACTATCCAACCAAAATTTGTTTCCATCAAAATTAGCTGGAAACCTGTACAATAAGAATCTGTTACCCTGACTGTCCCACATGCTTCTGCTCGCCACCTTGGTCACTCAGTCTGTCAATTATCACATAGCACCGAGATTTGGAAAAACACTATTTTTACTTATTTATTTGTTAGTTAGTTAGTTACTTAGTTTGAGACAAGTTCTTATTAGATAGCCCTGGCTAGCCTGGAACTAAGTGTAGACCAGGCTGGCCTCCAACTCACAGAGATCTACTTGCCTTTACAACCTAAGTGCTGAGATTAAGGGCATGTGGCTTAAAAACCCTCATTTTAAATTTTAGAGAAACATCTTCTAGTCTAAGTCTTAGGGTTTTTTTTTTTTTTTTTCAAACTCAAGGCTTAGTAGAGTGTCTGATCAACACACTTTCATAATGATCAATAGTTAACATTTTATTGTGTACATGCAATGATGAGAGATAAATTACAAATGAATCTCAGTTATGATCTTAGTTTAAAAAAATCCACTCAAAAGGAACCTTTAACCTGCACTTTTATTAATATAACACCATGTGGCTTAAAATTTTGTAGGGTAGCACTTTCTGCAAGAATGCCTTAATTCTCAATTTCTGAGACTTCTCACTGTATTTGATATATAGAAATCCACTCAACAGATACTCGAATGCCTAGCAGCTGCTGGGTTCTGTACTAGACTACAGATGTGCAGACTAAAATAAAAAGTTCCTCTCCTGTGAAATATATCGTCTTTCCTACTTGGGTTTTAATGGTCTGAATGCTTTTCTGTCAGCATATGGAGTAGAGAGGAAACAATTTTAATAGTGTTGTTTATTGAAAAATTTTCTTCTACTCCCTCCCAAGCAAAAAAATGTAAGCCTGCACTGGTCAGTCCTTCTAAAAGGCATTTTTAAAAGATTCATTTTATTTTTCAAGAGAGAGAGAGAGAGAGAGAGAGAGAGAGAGAGAGAGAGAGAGAGAGAACAGATGCATGTGGAGGTCAGGAAAACTGAGCTGGATGTCCTGAAGAGAGTCCTGCAGATGGTTGTAAGCTTCCCAAAATGAGTGCTGGAAACCAAACTCAGGTCCTCTGCGAGATCAGTACATATTCCTAACCGCTGAGCCATCTTACCAGCTCCAAACAGGTATCTTCTACTCAGAAAATTACCTAGGAGTCTGAAAATCCCTCGAGCGAGTGAAAAAAAAATTAATGAAACAGCCAACTTGAGAGCCCATGTGCAGTACATTTCAATCTTGTTTCTGTATTTACTTGTCAACATTTTCTAATAGCCTAGTTCACTGATGTTTGGAAGTCTGTCCAGTCACTTTTGCCTTTGATGATGATGCTTCATCTTCTCCTGAGTCTTTGTTCAAGGAAAGCTCTCGAGGCAGAGAGTAACTCTCAGTAAGTGGAGATATGTTACAGAACCATGTATAATGCTTAACTGGTTGTACCTATCATCTTAAACCATTATCGTTTAACTTAGCATATTGTAACAGCACACAGAATGGCTACTCCTCTCCACCATTAGGAGGCTATGGAGTGTACAGCTAGCGAGTCAGGGAGAAAGGGCAAACACTCAAGTCTTAGGAGGAAAGAGCAGGACTGAGGCATGGGCTACACTGGCTTGTCCCACTGAGGGACTGAGAACGTGCTGGAGGACTGCTTTGGCTTTGGTAACACACAGGCTTCCTAGCACACTGCAGGTCCCCATGTCCTTAAAGCTTTGCTTACAACATAAAAGCTGCTCAGGACCCTCTGGGGTACTCTCTTCTGCCCAGGTCATCAGAGAAGGGTCTTCCCAGGAAAGAAGAGTTTAAGCTATGTCTTTGTCCATTTGGGCCACTCTAACAAAATACCTTAGTGCTCACTTGGCAGCCTATACACAAGAAGGAGAGACTGGAGAGGAGGGAAAGAGGGACAGGATGGACAGGAGGACGGGAGGAAGAAGGGAAGGCACCCTTAGACTGCATAGTTTACAGTAACAGAAGTCCCAGTGCCAGAGGCGGAGAAGGCCAGCAGTGAAGATGGAGGTGCCCACAGATTCAGGGGTTTTCAAAGCCTAGTTCTGGGCTTCATAGACGGTGACTTGTATCCTCACATAGTAGGGGAGGACAGGCACCCCCCCTCACGTTTTCATAAGGGCACTGATTCTTTATATAATTCATGAGAATGAGACCTTTTGACGTAATCACCTCCAGAAAACCCCTCCCACCTCCCCCTGATATTACTGTACCCTGCAAAAGGTTCCAAGACATGAATTTTCAGGGCACACCAACATTCAGATGATGGTAAACTGGAAAGCAGAGGGACAGCAGAGCCTGGGGGCAGAGGGCTGAGGTCTGTGGGCAGATGCTGGGTTTTGGAATACAAGAATGTGAGACATGTGTCTCCACATTAAAGCCCCAGGGCAAAGCCTGAGGCTGATGTTACCAGGCTATCCCCGAGGATAAAATGTTATAAAATGTCAGCAGAATTGAGAACTGAAGAATTGAGTTGAGGTCACATAAAAACAAACAAACGGAGCAAAACCCCCCAGATGGGCAGGGGAGAAGTAGAAGGGGCTTCTGTAAGAATCCATGAAAGAGGGGCTGGAGAGATGGCTCAGTGGTTAAGAGCACTGGCTGCTCTTCCAGAGGACTGGGTTCAATTCCCAGCACCTACATGGCAGCTCACAACTGTAACTCCAGTTCCAGGGGACCCGACACCCATGGCAAAACACCAATGCACATAAAATGAATAATAATAATAATAATAATAATAATAATAATAAAAGAAACCATGAAAGAAGTCGAGGTGGGGTTTAGTGATTGACTTGGGTGGAGCAGGAAGTGGGGGCATGTCTGGGCACACAGGAAGGTAGCACCACAGGTCAAGACCACATAAAGGTGGGCAGCTTAGATGAGCTTAGGGACTGCTAGCACAGAGTAGAAAGTGGGGCACAGCTTAGAGGGGAAAATGAGGCTGGAAAGAGAAATCGGGAACCATGCTGGACAACATCCCCTAGAAACATCTACAATATTAGCAACCCTAAAACAATTAACAGGAGCTGTTCAGCCTGAT